ATGTTATTATTTTTTCTTTTGCTGTTTGTTAATTTTTTAGTTTTTTTTTTCCTTTGATAATCAGTTTGGATGAGGGTGATTTTTCTTCAATTTCCTCAAGGTGCAATCTGTTAATTTGTTGCAATCTGTCTGACCAATTTGTGTCCTCCAGCGGCAGCAATCGAAGCTTCCAGCACCAGCACCAGCACCACCAGCGGCAACAGCAGCGGCAAATTCCACCAGCAATTCTCTCTCTCTCTCTTAGGTATTCTTCAAGTGAGCCATCTCTTTCTCTTTCTCATTTGATTTCCCAGAAATTCGTATGCTTTTAATTTATGATTTTCTGAGTTAAAGTTGAGGAAAATTGCTGGCAGAATCGAACCTAATTATTATATCAAGCTCCCACTTGAAACTTTTTGTCTGATGTTTGTAATTGCTGTTTTTCTCTCTGTTTTTGAATTCCATTTAGTCATGAATCATATATTGGGATGAAGCAATCATATTATATATGTCCAACCCCGTTTATCTCTAATATTGTTACTGTATATAAGTTCAAGGACGATGACCCAAGCGACAATGAGGACCAAGAACAAGTCCGACAAAGTTGAAGCATGTCATCGAGGTTCCTGACCACGAAACAGCATGAAGAAACCTACGCAAACTAACTCTTCAGTCACCACCTCAAGCTCGAATAAACGGAAGCCAGCAAAACGCATCTCGGGTCCTATGGGTAGTGGGGTATTCAGTGTATGCGTGTTCGTACCATGTGACCGAAATCCTTCTTCACCCTTGCTTCACATGGAATTGGAGGAACATCTCTCCTTCAAGGTAAGTAGTTTTTATTTTACAATTCGCATTTCTCAGTTTAATTTACCTAATTTGTAATTCAGTGGGTGACAATCAAACTAAGATAACTAAACCCTTTGTGTTTTATGCAGCTTACTTTAAAACAAATAAGAGGGTGTGGAAACAACGACAAGTGTGCTGCATGGTATAACACAGCAATGCACGACACTGTGAAAGCGAAGGTCAAAGAAGCTGGATTTTTGCCCTTTTTGTCAATATTGGGCCATGGAAAGAAAAGGGATAGGCCATTACTTGTGGCCTTAGCTGAGAGATGGTGGGACACTACCCACACATTCCACTTCGATGAAGTTGGAGAGATGACGATGACCCCCACGGACTTCGCGGCAATCACAGGATTGCGTGTTGGTGGAAAGCGATTAAAGTACAACTTGGAGATTTACAAAAATAAGAACAAACTGGTTAAATTATTTGGGAAACCAATTGCAGACCTACTGGCTGGCGAAAGAAGAGTGCCATATGAAAGACTTTCTGCCCCTTATTGGAATAAGACTTCGAAAGATGATAAAGAAGCTGACCAAATTGCAAGGGCATTTATACTGTGCTTGATTGGCTCCTCATTCCTAAATGATAAGAGCCAATACGTGAGTATGCACTATGCCCCCAGTCTGGAAATAGTCTCAGACATTGGTAATTACGACTGGGGCGGTGCGGCTTTGGCTTGCTTGTATAGATCAATGGATTCTTGTTCTAGGGGGAGGTCCTCAAGCATGGGCGGGTATTGGAGGGCATGGGAGGTAAGTGTTATCGAATTGAATGTCCCCAAAGTGCAACACACTTATTTGCTTAAATTGCTAAGTTGTAAACTTGTTTTGTGTAGGTATGGGCTTGTGAGTACCTCAAGCCGTTTGCTTTAGCAAGGCCCAGTGGGACCGTGAACACATGGCCCCGAGCATTGAGGTGGTTAGGTGCAAAAGCAAAGCGAGACTTACACAATCAGTTGGTACATTTTAGAGTGATGATGCGACATCTAACAAATGATCATGTATAAAGCCTTGACTCTTGAGCATAGCCTTGTTTATTACCAAAAAAAAGTATCATACGCAAAGGTAACCAATGTGTATTGCAGGTAAATTGGAACCCATGGGTGACCAATGAATCTGAGATGCCGGAAGAAGTCAAAAACACCGTGCCAACAACCCGCAAACGAATCCTACTGGAGGGACCAGCTGGGTCTGCCTGGTTTTTGGGAGAGCGAGTGGCAATGCAAAGCTTATGCACCACAAAACCTCAAGTACCCAAAATTCCACTGAGGACAATGCTTTCCGATTATAAACTCACTGATGAGTTAGAAGTCGAGGAAGCACTTAATGGGTACCCAGCTTCAGAATGGCTTGCAAATTCATCAAACTATGCCCAGTACAGAGATGCGTACATAAGGTATCGTCATTATGAGGACTTACGTGAAGGGGTACGTTCTACACTGAACACGCCTCATTGAACTTACACTTCATGCTTTAAATTGATATAATTTTTCAAATATGATCCAATGATACCTAAATTCCACAGGAAGGAGAACATAGAACTCCTGAAGGTGGCAATATAAGACTAGGAAACATCTCTCCTCAGCCATGGTCAGTGCGAATACCAAGCTGGGCCGCCGATAATGGAAGTCAACTTGTGCGGATACCCCGTGGACAAGATAGCCCTGATCTACCATTACCTGCTGGTGTAACGCATGTAAGTAGTTTCCATTGCATAATTTATTCATAATTGATGCCTTCCAGTGGTGATTGTTGTAATCGCATGTGCCTGAATGTAGATAACTGCTAAAGATGCAACCGAGATTTTGGAGCTGAATGCTGGCTTGAATGCCCTACTATTTTCAACTTCATTGGAAGCAAGCATAGAGATCAGGCGCCTGCGGCAAGAGATTGTAAGTCAGTTCAGCTTCATTTCGTAGTGATTTCAGAAAATTAACAAACATCACCGATGTTATATTGACATAACATACCAAGAATGAACATGATCGATGTTATCTTGTAATAGGAGATATTGAAGAACACCACGGGGACAACCATTGCAAGTTCGGGTATTAGTAAAGACGTCTTAGCTGATGATGCAGAACATGTAAGTTTGTTACCTCCATTGCCCCATTCGATTTAGAAGATGTTCAATTTTGCAATTTTAAATCATATGTTACATTCTGCAATGCAAACCATCATCACTCGTGTGCACAACAAAATTGAACAAAATTTATTATTTATATATGTCAATGTTTCGCTGTATATAGGAGTATCGCAGAAAATGTAAACATGACATAGTTAGAAAAGGAAAGACCAAAATTGTGGTACCAGAAGAGCATGAAGAAGATGAGGAAGAGGAAGAGGAAGAGGAAGAAGAAGAGGAAGAAGAGGAAGAAGAAGATGAAGAGGAAGAGGAAGATGAAGAAGCACAGGAAGAAGAGGAAGAAGAAGAGGAAGAAGAAGATGAAGAGGAAGATGAAGAAGAACAGGAAGAAGAAGAGGAAGATGAAGAGGAGAATGAAGACGAAGCTTGGGTTGAAGAGAAAGAAGATGAGAATGAGGATGAGGATGAGGATGAGGATGAGGACGGGGCCGCAGCTAAGGGTAATCCGGATGCAGAACAACACCCCACAAACCAAAAACGCAAAGGTGATAAAAGTGTTTATTCACGAACTCGAAAGATAAAGAAAACCATGTAAATTATGGATACGATTAAATTTTTGGGATCATTGGTCCATTTTGTAATATAATATGTTCACTTTATTGCCTCTTACCGTTTCTCATACTCTGTATTTCGGTTCCTTTCGCCCTTCGATTTATAGTTAAAAATAGGTCTAATTATGCCTGTACAACAACATATTATCCAATTTTCGTTATTAGGGGTTTGCGCACAGTCACTATTGCATTGTATCACCGTCATGCAATTGCATGTTTGCAATGCAACTGTAGACCGTCTGTGGGCAAACTAAACATAGCTTAAAAACGCAAACCTAAATAATGTATAGCCAAATACAAAGAAAAGCAAGTAAATACTTTATTATGACCCTATGTCTATTATTAAATATTAGGGCTATTCACAATTTGGTTAACGAAATTCAAGATTTTTTGTAATATGAGCCTCTTGAGCTATGGGACAATGGCTATTACTAGGTCATTTCGATACTTGCTCGTTTTGTAATATAATATGTTCGGAAATAGCCCCTTACAATTTCTCATGCTCTGTATTTCGGTTCATTTTGGCCTTCGATTTATAGTACAAAAAATTCGGTCTAATTATGCATGTACAATAAAATATTATCCAATTTTCGTTATTAGAGGTTTGCGCACAGTCACTCTTGCATTGCAGCACTATCATGCAATTGCATGTTTGCAATGCAAATGGAGACCGGCTGTGGGCAAACTAAATATAGCTTAAAAACACAAACCTAATTAATATATAGCGCACAGACAAACAAAAGCAAGTAAACACTTTATTATGACCCTATGTCTATTATTAAATATTAGGGTTAATCACATTTTGGTTTACGAAATTCGGGATATTTTGGAATTTGATTCGCGCTACATGATAGTTTCTATTACTAGGTAATTTCGATAATTGGTCGTTTTGCAATATAATATGTTTGGATTATTGCCCCTAACCGTTTCTCATGCTCTGTATTTCCGTTCATTTCGCCCTACCTTATTTATAGTCAAAAAAATATGTATAATGCTGCCTATACAACAAAATCGGATCCATATTTCTTATTTCCGTTTGCGCACAGTCACTCGTGCATTGCGTCACTGTCATGCAATTGCATGTTTTCAATGCAAATTCGGACCGGCTGTGTGCAAAACCTTTAAGACTGTAAACACAAAGCTAATGAAGGTATATAGCCAACACAAACAAAAGCAAGTAACAATTTCATTATGACCCTATGGATATGATTCAAAATAAGAATAACCAATTAGGGTTTACGAAATTGGGTATATTTTGGAATGTAATTCGCACTTTTCGGCCCAACAATTTTCTAATACCAAGTATTTTCAGATAATTGGTCTTTATCGATTCTAATATTGAAAAAATAATTGCCCCTTACCCTTTCTGATGCTATGTATTTCGGATCACTGCCGCCTACATAAAACTTCCATCCAAGCACCCCATACAAGTCATAACACAGTTTCTCAACAATACATACATAAAACAATAATATATCAATCATATGAAAGCATCTTGTCCATCACTAAATCTACATTTAATGTTAATTGTTACATGTAAACCAAGTTCCAAAACTACAATTGTTTTGGGTAGAACCAGTAGATAGGGAAATAAGTTCACCATTGTCGAATGAGAAACCATCGTCAGTGTTGGGGGTAGAACCCGTTCCGTCTGCAGTAGAAAAACTATCAGAACCGGACAAATCAACCACATAGTTGCCTTTGCATTGAGAACCCATTTCACTAGCATAACTGTAGCTAATGTCCGGGGACGGCACTTTCTCAGTACTATACTGATAGCTTTCACTACCTGAACGGATATTCACACCTGCAATTCTACTTGGATGCAAGTTTCTTTGAGAGCAATTACGCTTTGTATGTCCATATCCGCGACACAAATGACATTGTCGACGTTTACGCGTTCCACCCTAGCTTGCTTGAGTGCCTTTTGTCCTAACGATCTTTGGATCTTTGACAATATTTGGAGGACATTGCCTAGCACTACCCAATTTCAGACTTGTCTCTTCTTCCTTTTCCCGTAAGCCTTCACAAATTCCCTCCCATCTACTAAACTCATTTCTCAACATGGCATAACCATCTGCACTCTTCGATGCATAAAAACATACTTTGTTTGACATAGCACTTAAACTTCCATACCTCGCCATTTCTACACCTTCGTTGGTAGTGTCTTTGCCTTTGTCGAAACATTCTGTACATGTATCACTTTGGGCACTCTTTGTCCATCTCTTCATTATGAGTGTTGGAGGAATTTCCGTAAGGTGCTCGCACTTCATTACATAAAACAGGTGGCAACACGGGATCCCTTCACTTTCATATTTCCGGCATCCACACTCTATCCGCATATTTTCCCCACCGTGGTAAACACAAGTCCAATTATTATGCGATTCACCATATTTTGACAATACGTATACACGACCTCCAAAATTATACATCACCTTATCATGAATGAGTGCTGAACAAGCTTCGATCTCTTCACGTACCAATACAAAGCACCTATGCGTGTAAATCAGATAAGCTTGTTGCTCTAGTTTTGTCAATGCGGTTTTAAGGACTGGTGTTGAGTACTTTGCGTTGAAACCATCCTTCGCCGTGGTATTCCTAAGACGTAACATAGCCCTATCAATTGCTGGAATACATTCAAACAACTTCACGCCTTTTCTCAAGTAATCCTTGACATACTTGTTCATGGACTCCACGCGTTGAGTGGTGCACATACCACCGAAAAACTTTCCTCTAAGACATGATTCAGCCCATGAGTCTCTTTTTGCATACATCATTTCTAACCATTCTTTTTGTTTTGGAGTACTCGCTCTTTCCCTCAAAACCTCCCATTTCTTCTCAAACTCGTCCAACGCAAATGGTTCCCAAAGACATGCCTGAAAATTTCTTAGCAATTCATCATCCTTCAAGTTAGTCTGTGCATTCCTTGACACATGCCATGAGCACAACCGATGGTTAGACATGGGAAACACATCATCAATGGCTTTACGCATCGCCTCATCGCCATCCGTCAATATTGATATTGGCTTCTTATCTTTCATGGATGCCATGAGGTTTCCAATAACCACTTGTAAGTTTCAAATGTCTCGTCATGCAATAATGCACAACCAAACATTACAGTAGAACAGTAGTTGTTCGAACCGACAAACAACACTAGGGGCTTGTCATAGATATTTATTTTGTATGTGCTGTCGAATATAAGGACGTCGCCATAGGCAATGTAATCCAAAAGTGAAGTGGAGTCCCTCCAAAACAAATTACCAAGCCTATTTTCCTCGTCAACACTAAACTTACAAAAGAATTCTGGATCCATTGCTCCTTTCGCTTTCAAGTAAGAGAGTGCGGCTTCTGTGTCACCGTCGAGCAAAATTTCCCTGCGTGATGCATCTAACTTATTGTACAGATCCTTTATTTGAAAACCAACATTTAAATACCCACCACATTGGTCGACCATATACTCATATGTTTGACATGTTCTAACCAATGCTCTTCGCATTCCCACTGCTTGTGCTAAATCCGAATTTCGAACAACACGGTTACATCGGGGATATGGCGATTCAAGTGGAGTAACTAGTTCATGATTGTGATGTGGTTCAAATTTCGTAACGACGTAAGTATCACGTTTCTTCTCATAACCCACCCAAAAATGGGCAGGACAATTCTCTCTTGTAATTGGCTTCGGTTGCCGAATCCTATCCGATCGATCATTAAACTTCTCATTTCTCAAACCTTCTTTAGAACAACACCACCGTCTCCTACATACTTTCCCTTCCAAATTACGAATCAATTTGTCTTTCCTCACGCTAAATCCAATACCCTTTGCATAACTCATATAATATTCTTCCGCTAATTCTATCGTTTTAAACTCTTTCCCCATAACATCTTCTTTCCTCGGTACAATAATTTCAACACCATTATCATCACTACTTTGACTAACCGGATGTTCGACAGACATATTCACACTCGCTGTTGCCGGTTCCCCTTGACTCGAGCTTTCACAACCACCCAGATACCCTGAATCACTACAACCACCCTTTGAAGTCTCTACACCCCTGTCCATCTTAGCAGACCCCTCCAAGCCTGAGAAACATAAATTCAAACTAAAATTACATTATAATCTATCTGCTAACATACTTTCTTTTCAAAACACACAATTGGAAAATCTCATGCAATTGCACATAGTCAGGTCAATAATTGCACTACGTATAACTATTTCGCAACCAAAAACATGCAATTGCATCAACTCAACTCATTACCCAAAATACATTCTACTCCTAAACCAGAAAAACAGGGTTCTTCGAACTCTTACTTGATGTTTCCAAGGGTTCTTCGAACTCCCACCCACCTCGTATATCGATTGAATGTGGTACACGCTGGAATGGGCTTCAAAGCTCCTAAACACATAAAGAAATGGGCGATCTCATATCAGGC